ATACAATATAAACAACACTAACTCCATCCTTGAGTAATTCATCAAAGGAAACACAAAAGGAATTGGTTGTTCCAAGATAGCCAAAGCTCTCTCCTCTCCTAGGCATACGATGAGTCTTACCCTCATCATCATCTTCTCCATCATTCGAATGATGATCTCCATCTTCAGTTGGAGCTTGAACCCGCTGAGGTCACTTTCTCTGTTTCAGCACTTAGCTTGCCGTCAAACCCTTCCACAAGTGATTCCAGAAGTGCCTTCACTCCGCTGCATTCGTGTCCCGCTGGTAGCCCAATCACTCCGCAATTGTCACAGAAGGTGGCGCTTTGGGATTCATGTGGCGATGATGGTCCCAAGTGAAGTTTCAAATCTCCCAAGTTCCTCTTGCTCCTCAATCTTCTATCTTTGTTCCGCAGGGAACAATTGACAACCTTATGGCCCTCCTCTCCACAATAAAAACAAGTTTCACGTTTGACTCTTGGAGATTGACTCACTACTCTTTCTTCAAACTCCACCTTGAATTCTCTTGTATTGGAGTCTAAAGACACTATAACATCCAAGCCTTGAGGTACTTTGGATAACCTAACCTTCCAACCTTCTTGTTCACTCATTTTCCCATAAGGTAGAAACCACTCAAAAGACCTCTCCCAGAAACGCTATCTACTTGACGAAAACTGTGAATAAAGAAATCAAAAACTTTTGCTTTGTTATCTTGCTTTTGTACCCCCTCAACTTCAAATCAACATAACTTCGTCTCTAGACGTGATCTCTCAGTGAAATTTTGACTCAAACGTAGCTTATCTTCCAATACACACTCGTACGAAGTTTCAAAGCCTAAATTGAAATACAGAAAAAGTAATCAACTCTGTACAAACTTTCCAGAGAGCAGACTTTTGATACCCGTGAAAACCCACTCAACTTCTAACTCTCATATCTTTCTGTTAACACATGATCTGGACCTGAAACAAAAACGTAAATTTTCTCTATCTTTCACTCTAAAATCAATAAAAACTTTGAAGAATACCTTCAAAAATACTTTTCGGTGTCTAAGATCACTTTTCTCTCAAAAAGACATGTTTACGTGAACAAAACATACAAAATCACTTCTAGGCTATCATATGAGACTATGGGATAAACAAATGGAATTTCGCTCTCAAGCACACTCTCCGCTCTTTCATTCCCCAATGTTAACACCAAGTGATCCCTCATGGATACTTTCTCTCGAGCTAGAAATCGAATCCTAAACATTCCGCCTTCTAGATTGAGGTCCCGGCAACGGAACCAAAAATGCAACCTCCGGGCTGACTCTCACTCAGGTTTACCTCTGATGGCTTTGTGGTAGCGCATCATGGTTCTAGAAGACTAAGATTCATACTCTCACTCATGTCCCAAACACCTTCTCTTACAAACTCTCATGTATCACTCCAACTCACACACAACTCTCCTCACATCACCCTCTTCACATAAATGCAAACACACGTCGATACTCCAAGATACTCAAAAACTTCACTCCTTCATTACTGAAACAAGTCCTCACACATGACTCTCCAAACTTGCTTGAGAGGTGCTACTCTACCTCTCTATTTATACTACTTGAGAAGTTACCATAGTAACATGTGGTAATTTCTCCTAACTTACTTTTACCTAGGTAAGTTTGACTAACCTTCTCTACGTGGCAACATGCCATTGGCCTACCTAAACCTTCTAGAAGCTTCTGGAATCCAAGGTTGAGGTGGCGACATGCCATTTGAAGCTTTTAAACTTCTACAAGCTTCCTAGCCACTAAGTCAACATTAGACTTAGTCTAGCCAATCATCTTTCATACATTTAGTCAAACCAATCAAATCCAAGCTTCTAGTCAAATATCTAATCCCTTGGAATCTAGAACTTTTGTATAAGACAAAATAGAAGTGCTCACTCCTTGTAAAGGACAAAATAGAAGTGCTCACTCCATTCTTCTAGAACTCCGCTAATTATTCCGCCAACTATAGACATTGTAGCTAAACTTAGTCATGACTAGATAAACTTAGTTATAACTAACTAGTTTAGTCATAACTAGCTAGTCTTAGCTATGCCTTGGCTAATCATCCTTATTCCCTTGACCACTTCTAAGACTTAGTACATATGTGCAACACCCGGTCTTACAGAACGTGGTTGATAGTCCACGTGGTCGAGGTCAAACGTGGTTTGAGGTTGAACGTGGTTGGTATTCAACGTTGTCAATGTTAAACGTGGTTGAGATCTAACGTCGTTGGTAGAGCAACACTGTCAACGAGTGACGGTGACGGTGACAAACAGTGACGGTGACGAAATATTCTGTCCTAAAATGTTTCTCTTCAGAGTATAGGCAAATTGGGTATGGTTGGAAAGCTCTCGACTCAAATAGTGCATCTGGAGGTTAACTCAATAGAAGAAGTTAATAGACTCGGTGGCCGACGGTGACGGTTGACAGTTGATCAACGGTGACGGTGATGGAATATTCTGTTGTACATGTTTCTCAGCAAAGTATATGCAAATTGGATCTCGTTGAAAAGCTCACGACACAAATAATGCATTTTTTATGTTAACTCCGTTTAAGGAGTTTATTGAGGTTAACCGCATATGTAGTTATTTACAGCGTAAAGTGGTTAACTACCTTGGATATATATACCATAAGGGTGGTAAGAAGTTTCTCACTTCAAGCAGGAAACTCTCTCAAGTGTATTCCTCCGTGGACATAGCCTCTGAGGGTGAACCACGTTATACGTGTATCTTCTATGTTTATCGTTTTGTTGGTTTGCTCAATCTGAGGTTTATTGGAAGAAATTTTTTTTGATATTCTCTCCATTTCACTTGATAGTAAATGCAAAGGCGCTACATGTATTTGTCTGTTGTGAAAGGAGTCATTTCAAATGTCCAAGATGTTAAGGAGTTTTAGCATGTTCTTCACGTCCAAAATATACACAGAATTGACACCTAAGAGCAACCACTTCAAAAAATCTAGTATCACGATTTGCTATAGAAATACCATTTTGTAACAGGTGTTTTGATTGAAATGGAGTTTTGCGAAATCGCTTGGAGGCAGGTTCAGTAGAATCCATCGAAATTCAAAATTTCATGCAATAAATGTCCAAAATTGTAATCAAGTAAATAACCGTGGAAGTGTCCTTTGAGCCAAAATCAATCTTTGGGAGATTTTAATTAACTTACATTTATTTACACTATTGTGGTGTGTGAAGTAGAATGTACAACTTTTAGTTAGTAAAGCTGTGTAATGTCACAAACAGTTACAGCAAAGTTTTGGTTGAATAATTCTGTTACTTTCTCTAGTATAGCCACCGATATCAACAAAGGTATTTTTGTTGGAAACATTGAACTTTTTGAAAACGGAAAATACAAACACAAGAGCTTCATTGATTTATTTAGTATATATGTGACGACGAGACACAAATAATCTATGAACATGCAAACATAACAAGTTTGTTAGTTCATGTAGATGTATTCCTTTGGATGAACCACCTAGATCTTGTGTCGTCTCGTGTGTGTTTTTTGATACTTCCGGTTGCATTTCTTGGACTTTATGTATTTTGAATTTTGAATTTAATACAACTATATGTTATAATTCAAATAATTATTTATAATGTGCTAAACACATAAATTTAATTCAAAAAATAAAATAAAATTGATTTATATAAAATTAATATTTTGATCACATATATTAAAACTTGAAATAAATAATGTACAAATTTTGAAATTTCAATTGTAAAAAAAAATAAAAAAATTTACTAAATCATCAAAAAATTAAGCAATAAAAAATATACGTATAACAGCTTAATCGTTTATTAAAGTTGTTTGCAATGAAACTATTGTTTTATATAAAATTATGGATTAAAATATAGATGAATACACTTGCAATATTGGCATTTTAACACATACATATGTGTGAAAATAATATATATTTTTCCCAAAAAATCTATAAAAAATTTTAATAATATATTATAATAAATTACATGTTGTACATAAAAACATACAATGTTGTAGGAGGAAGTAAATTTCTGTTTTTAAAAATATGACAAACTTATCATTTACATATAAATTTACAATTATTATATTATTATCATACATCCAGTATTTTAACGTACTTGAAACAAATGTAGAATCGATTACATCTAATTGTAAACAAATTCTCTAAACATCAACTTTCATTTCTCTATAAACAGTAGTTTTCAATCAATTTATGAAACTACATTCATAATGAATATGGTGATTTGCAGCATTTTGTATTTTATAGAGTATTTCAAATAAAAAATCTTCATGTATGAGATTTTATAGTACATACATCTTATTATAGTACTTCTGGAGACTTTTTCATGTTAGTGTGCTGGGATTTACAACTTTTTTGATTTGATAGAATTGTGTTCTATGGTCATTTGATATATTTATGATAACTTTGAATAAAAAAAGAAACTTTTCATTTAATGAAGATTAATAAAATATGTATGTTTTGATATATGAATTTTACAATTCATAAAATTGAAAACTCATATTTTATATTTGTTACTTATATGATGAATATGAATTTGGGTTAAAATTTATTCATACCACGACTAAAATGACTTTGTAAAATATATTTTATGACAATCACCAATTCACATGAATCTGATCTAAATTACATTGAGCCAAGATTTTATTGTGTAAAAGATGTTTTAAATAGGAATATATTTCTTTGAACAGATATATTGAACTTTTTTAGATGTCATGTAAGAAGTCAATTTTTTTTATATATTTTTTGGTAATTTTCTAATGAATAAATTGATGATTTTGTAAATATTCAATTGATGATTTGTTTATATTTTAAATTTATTTTCTCTAAAATAATTTTTTTTAAATAATTTTTTTTGAGCTTTATTAATCACGAAATGAGGATTAAAACGTACGAGAAATCTGAATATGTTTATATACATAAACATATTCAGATATGTGTTTTATGCGTTATGGAAGAAAACATATCAATTCTCATGTCCACAAGATTGACGTATTTGTACCCAATCACATATCTACCGGATGATGTGGTAAAATATTCATCATCCTTCACAATCTTCCTTCTTAATTGTATGCTATAGATAGCTTGCTATATTTGGGCAGACAAAAGGACATAATCTACCGATTACGGACACGTCCAATATGAAATGCATCATTTATCAACACACAAATCAGGATATTATTAATTCGCATCCACAATGATTCCATCTGTGTGCCACACGGACGGAGGTTTATTGTTGCTCGCTCAGCCTGCTATCAAGCTTTGCTGAAGATTCCATTTCAACATACCACAGCTAAGTGCTTATAAAAGTGTTGGATCGAACCTTGCCCTCTGGCATGCTCTTATGGTCAAGACCTGTAAAGGCCACACTTCGTACGTCAAAGAGATATTCCAACGATGACATCCAAAACATCAACTTTGTCATTGCTGAGAGAACAATTATCAGCTAGGGCACATATCGGATCATCAAATGAATTTTGTGCATAAATCTACATATTAGAGAAGACAGGATTACTGTTACTTATAAGGTGGTTCTTGATAGACTCAGGACACAATCCTATTGACATTATCAGACGTCATATTAGAGCAGCTGCAGAGTTTAGCACAACCACGGATATCAACCAGTTTCAAACAATACATAGGCATGGAGCATCCGGACAGCGCATTGATCAATTAGATACATGTTGTGTTTGTATAATATGCGATAAATTGCGATAATTGTAAATATGAACATTTATTTCTCGTTGTCAGATTTATCCCAAAAACTTTGATAAGTTATAGGTATTCCAGTACAGATGTACGAAAGAGAAAAACATTGTTTAGTGATGGAGTGATGCTTGATCTAGACCTGCCATTATCACGTGCATTACCACTTTGCTCCACATTAGAGTTGCAGTCGTAGACGATGTGACCTTTCATTAGATAGACGAGCTCTCTACTTGTCTTTTAGGAGCTAGTTTCGTTTTTTCTGCCCACTTTGCGACGATATTCCATCTACTCCCTACACTTGCTGAGGATGACGAGGGCAAGTTGGGACACAGATTTTACCTCGATTCAGCTCGAGGTCGATGCTGTTTCAATGCACCGTCCATCGGGCGACTATGGCTGCACTTCCGATAATGCTGGATACCCCAAAATAGACGAGCACCAAAAGTTGTTCTGTCACGAGTACATCCTGCCACCCGCTCCGATCTCCATCTCAATCTTATTTCAATATGATTTCTTGTCGGTCTTTCGTACCGATATTCGCAAATCATGCTTCCGACAACGCAGGGCAGTGACTTTCACCATCTAATCACAGCGCAGCAAAAAAAAAACATCTGCCCCCCTTTCATCCGAGGGACCGACCAGTGAGCGCATGCCAAAGATCGAGAACTCGTTCTTAGTGTACTGTACATCGATAAAATAATCAATATTATTGTAAGTCCAGAATCGGCCATCGGACCCGCTCAATTCGACCTCGTGACAGACAACAACACGAGACCAAGGCGGTTGGGTTGATTTCAGTGGTTCTTAATATTGGTTATTTATTAAATTATTGACGGAAAGGCTTGCTCCTGATCGAGCTGGTAGCGAAATTGTGAAGGGCGGAATGCTCGTGATCGGTTTGAAGCAGCGAGGGAGGGCGATGGAGTGCAGGATCGAACAAGCAACAGAAGCGCAGCAGCTTCGTGACATCTTCGCGTCGGAGAGAAAGGTGTCGGAAGCAGCGGCCCCACGCGCAATGGCTCTGGAACGACGCGCTTTCGATTCCGGCGAAAAGCTGTCGTGTCCCCCGCCTCGAGTGTGCCGGGCATGCGTGTCCAGGCCTCGCAGCGCCGTGCGCTGACGTGGGCGGCCTCGTCACCGCCCCGGTGGCACTGCGATTCGCCCCGCATCAGAGCATCAGATTCCTCCGTGCGACAATCGAGCTCCGAGCCCCGAGCCCCGAGTCCCAAAGCGCCGCAGGCCTTTTTTTATCCGCCCCACCACCGGGCTGCCCGGCTGCCCGGCTGCGAGCGCAGTCGGCCGGAAGTGGGGCCGGGGAAGAACTCGGTGACGTTTGCCGGGGCCGGATGATGACGTGCCTCCCGGAATGTGCGGTGCGTCAATGGCTGGGCCATGGCAACACGTACACGATCCATCGGGGACGACAAATTCGCTCCTCAGGCGGGGGCGGGACGCAATTCGGCGCACGACTCGACGGCGCTGCAGACGATCCTTCTCTGCACCTGGACGCCAGTATATAAGCCTCCTCGAGCCGCTCTCCCTTCACCACCTCGGTCTCCATTCTCCGTTCGCCCCCATACTAATTCCACTTTTCGTCCCATACCCTTTGTAATCCTCGTCCCCTCTCCCTCCCTCCCTCCTCCATCCCCTTCGATTTCCGCCTCCGATTGGCTCCGAGTTCGAACCGATCGTCGGTCGGCACATTCAATTCAATCTTAGCTTCCCGTCCCGTCCTGTCGTCCAATCTCAGAGCACAATTTTGCAGCGAGGTCAGTCCAGTCCAGTCCAGTCCAATCCAGTCCGACTGTGGGTCGGTCGGTGGGTGAAAGTAGTCATGTCGAGCAACGAGCAGATGAAGAATGTGAAAGACGGAGCTGTGGCACGCAGCTCCGAGGGGTCGATGAAACAATTCGGCATGGAGAAGACCAACACCTTGTCTCCCCGCAAGCCTAAGAACTCCGCAAAGCCACCGAAGTTCCGAATGGAGAAGGCTGCGCTGGCGGCGGCGGCGCAGACCAGCCAGTTCGAAGCCGAGGTCAGTAGCAAGCTGCAGCAGCAGGCGGCGGCCCCGAAGCCTGCCATGAAAAGGCTGGAGAGACTCGGCAAATTCCGGTCCAGAAGTGGTCACATGGACGTCGACCTCACCACTCTCCGGGTCTAGACCTCTCGCTGCCGTCCTGCTCGATCGATCGATCGATCGATCGGTGGGGTGGGGTAGAAGAATATATTATCGTCCCGAGTCGAGTCGAGCCGCATTCGTCGTGGTCCTCGGCTCGCTTCGGGACATTTGCCGGCCCTTGTAGTCACTGAGAAACAGGTGTACGAGAATTTCACAGGTCCTGCTGCCAAGGCATCTATCCATCTGGGACGCTGACAGTCGAGTCGGCCAGCAGCAGCAGCAGCAGCTTAAGTCCGTCCACCAAAGCTAGGTACAGTACGCGTATGTACAATCTCTCCGAGGCTTAGCACCCTCGAGCCTTGCGAACGCGCAGGATCTCCAATCGTGTTGATTTGTGCCTCCTCTCCAAGGCTCGGATTCCCCGCCCTGTGGTAGTAGCTCTAGTTATCCCCCCCGGTTTGTGGAGACAGATTCTTCTCAGAGGTGTGAGTTGTGATTGCGGTCGACGCTGCAAAGGAACGAATTGCTCCGTCCCAGTCTGTGGGATTGGAGACCCGGATGACACATCTGTCACGAGAAGAATGCAGGCGTCGACATGTATAGCGGATCTCCCCCCTTCTATAACGATAAGAAAAAGTTGATCACGAAGACCCTGTTACAGCTGCTCATCTGGATCAACGATGCCTTTCCCCGAGACCATGGAGGTCAGACCTCTCAGCGAGCATGCGACCCATCCCTCCCGATGACAGCCATAGCTAGATCCTCTGCAGGCATCACTCTTCAGGTTCTAGGTGCAATAAGAGGCGGCGATGAGCCCACTCGATAATCTTCACCCTCGAACAACGAGGGGAAGAATCCATCGCCCATGTGTACATATTACTCAACAAGGCTAGCCAGTTTGTGACTATACTCATCAATAAATTGAAGAGACGAGGTTCATTCTACTACTTCTGTTCCTCCTTGTCTTACTCACACTGTGTCTTCATGCACTCCAACGTAGCACTTTACTACGAAGGTGTCAATTCTCTCTCGAGGAGGAGCCCGAATCTCTTGAACTTTCTCTTTGCCCGATTTTTTGCTCTGCAGCTCTTCTTCGTTGTGTTCTTACGCGGGTGGAATTTTGCATTCCCATATCTTAATTTTGAAAACCTTGGATTGCACTGTGAGCAGCATCACGGCGATTGTCATCTGTAAAGAGGCTTTTGCTAGAGAAGACGTGATAATTTTCTGCTCGATCGATCGGTTTATAATTATCACTTCAGTCTTATGAAGATATCTGTGAGCAGGAAGTCGGAATGAATGCATAATTAGCGCATCATCGAGACTCTTACTCAGCACGAATGAGAGTCTGTGCACCTGGATTGATTATAGAGAAGCCCAAACACTTCGTGACGTCTGTGGAACATCTGAAACACTAGCTACGAAGACGATGGTTGGCTTGATCTACAGTCAGAGGAAGAGGGAAATGGAAGCTTTCAGTCTCACGGGAAACCGTGACTGGGCCACGGGGAACATGCAAAGACACAGTAGAAGAGATCGAGTCAAGATGTGATGAAGACGAAAGACACATCATACGCATGCAAGCTTGACTTGGAACGCCAAGAGGCAAGGAAAAGTTAAGTGTGCTGAGAATATTGAACTCAAGTATCGCAGGGCCATTAACAGTCCATAGAAGCCGCTTTGAAGTGTTTCTTCAAAACTTGCATGTGTCTATTGCATCCATCGCATGGCAGTTTCATGTTGGATATGACTTCTGCCAGGATTTGTGAATTATGATCAAGAGATCCATGATCGAGGTATTGAAATCGGCTTAGCCATGGTCTGGTTCCGATCAGAAGAATATTCATGAATGGCGCGCATACTGGAATATAATTTGTACGCGCTACATCTGTGCAGCTTTCTATAAATCTCTCAGTCTCTGAAATCCACTCAGAGGTTGTAAAAGCGAGCACACATCTTGTGCGAAGAAGAAGGTCTGCAATCCCGATGATGACGTAATCACAATTGAGAGTTCTTCAACTTCATCCGCATTAGGCTCAATTAGTCTTCATCATGTTCCTGAATTGACCTCAAAGCCACAATAAACTCTACATCCTCCGCCTTCATTCTCAAGTGCAAGCAACTGAGAACAAGATTCGCAATCTCATCTGTAATGGGCCCGTCTACAGGATTGCAGTTGAAAATTCAAGTCTGTACCCGAATTCCTGTCAGTCTCAAACTCTCAAAACTGCCTGGACTGAACAATTTGCCGGATTTTCCAATTTAATAACTCAAAAATTATTACCTGGAAAATAAATCTCAGAGGAGGGGAGGAAAAGCCAGAGAGAGGCTCGATCGAATATCGTTAGGGAATGCTCCAATCAAAATGAAGATTCTCGCTACAGTAAGGTGAGCGTGGCGTGGCCTCGATCTTCAGAAATGATTCTGTGGCGGCAGGAGAACAGGCAAACCTGTAGGAGCAAGTGGGAGTGGGAAGAATGTTTCGGACGACAACGTCACTAGAGTCCATCCTGATTTCTCTCCTCTTCCGGTGGAAACGTTCTGCATTCACCAGAAGGGGACGAATGCCCAGCTACAGAACTGCGGTAAGTAAACGCTGCAGTCTGTTCGCATTTGCAAACTGAAAATAGATTTGGGCCAGTTTTGACCGAAGGCCATCCAACTGTTCATTGGAACCGTGGAAAATGAAAATAGTTGTAGATTTTTCTCTAGATAATATATTTTCTCTGGCCAGAACTCTACATTCCTCGTATGGAATTCGACCTGATTTGTAAAGGTGGGAAAATGAAGTGGCAAACAATTTACTTAGTACTAGCTACACATCTTAACATCTATCCCTTATATGATGAGTATCCCATTTGCTTTGTCAATTTTTTAGCAAAACAACCTTCTTACCAACCTTAACCGCTAACTGTTAAACTGAAGCAGTCACACTCACAACAAATAATCTTCTGTAAACGAAAAACGGCTTCCTATATTTTGGAAATGATATGGGTCAACACAATGACACATCCTTAGTAAATGAAAAGTGGAACTTAAGCTTAATTGTTTCCAGAATTTGAGTGGAAATAATTTATCAAGAGTCTACTCTTGCATTCAAGTATACTTCTTTATTACTATGTGTTAAGTAGGTCGGAACTAGAGTTACTTGTGTCCACCACCACCTAAAATACAGTCATTAACCTATACAGTTTCATTCCGCCTACCAAATCACCCATTCCACTGCCATGTCTACCGAAAGCTTTAATCTAATGTGACCCATTTAGTGGAATATTTTCTCTCGTTAATATTTTTATGTGATAAAATATTTTCTAACTACTTTAGAGGATAAAGTTTAAAGTATGGGAACAAAAATATGATCAACTGAACCTTCTAACTATTCCTAATAGCTTGCAGATTTGTTACTCTACGCATATTCCTATATCGTTTCATAAGCATTTCAAGATAAGAACATGTCAAATAAGATGACAAAGTCTTTGATGACTGTAATTTATATGCGAACAATAAACTTAGAGCTACGAGATCAATATAATCACCCTTGATATAGCTTGATGAATGCCGTAATTTCCTCTTATAACATTATTAAAGCACTCTTTTAATTGATAAACCTTAAATAAACTCTAAATCAGCTACCAGTTTACGTCAAGCAAACAAATCTTGACGTTATATCGTAACACCGTAATTTCTTAAACATGCATTGATAGCATCAATGAACCGTTACTTCCCAGTTCCTGTACACTGCAACAGTTAATAGATATTTTAATGTGATGAAACTCATCGCAACGTGTATGTAATTTCAATTAAAATGAGTTGTTGCAAAAATCATTTACATATCTTTCAAATTTAATTTTTTCTTACAAATTGTTACAAACATCCAATTTCACTTTACAGAAAGAAATTCCTTCACTTTGATCTCTACTAATAAAAGAATGATTAAAATTAAGAGATATTAAAATAAAATATCTCTTAGAATGATTGATTTTAGAACATAAAAATTTTGAAATTTTTTGGCAAATAATGAATTTTTAATTTTCAAAATAAAATAAATCTTTTTAATTTTAAATTCATAATTTGCAAGGAATTTGTTTTCAAATCTTATATTAAGAAAAAAATAAATAATCATTCAATATATGATCATTGTAAGAATATAAATTTCACTTAAATATAAATGTATCAAAAATATTTTCAATATAAATTTATTTTGTTGATTATGTAACAATAATATATTTTTTAACATAATTTAGATAGCATTATATTTGATATTTATTTGGATTCTTTTGTATATTGCAACATATGTTAAAGCATAAATTATAACTGTTTGTTAAAATCAGACTCAGATTTTCATAAGCTCAAATTAGGTGAAATTTTTAAAATTAAGCTAGTTAATCTATCACTATGTAAAACATATCAAAATTGTTGTTGACGCAAATTGGGAATATATTAACAAAGCTAATTTTGTTCATAAAGATAAAATAAAAAATGATGAATCATGAAGTTTCTTTGTTCAAAACTACCATAATTTTGCCAACACAACATTAATAAGTAAGTAAAACGTGTATGTGGATCATATGTTCACGTTAGTTATGGGCACGGTTCGGCTAACGGCTAGTCAATTGTATAGTCGGCTAGCCGTAGACTCACCGGGTTAGTCGGTGAGTGCTACGTGTCGAGATATGTTTGACGCGAAATTATTCTTACGATTTAGTGCAAAGTCATGTTCTCTCTTTTGCATCGAGAATACAAAAGAGAGACATTGTATGTAGTTCAACTCATGTACACGAGTTCCTTTGGAGGCCTGCATTGCGAAGCATTTCCGACTTGGAATATCAATAAACTCATAGATTCTTTCCATTGGTGACGAATTCAGCAGAGATTAATCATAAACTATCATTCAAGAAGCACCCAGACCACAGATTGAAGTAAGTAAACACAGATGACACTCAATTGCTTCATTTTCTAGAAACTAATCTAAGAATCTGAGAACTTGAATGATTTGAAAATAACTCATAAATTTATTCAATGGGTCACGAATTTAACAGAAATTAATCATAAATCATCATTCACGAAACAACTAGATCACAAATCAAAATAATGAAACAGAGTAGACACTCAGTTGCTTCATTTTCTAGAAACTAATCTGAGAGTTTGAGAACTTGAATGATTTAAAAATAACTTGTGAATCTATTCAATGGGTCACAAATTTAGCCAAAATTAATCATATATCATCATTCACGAAACAACTAGATCACAAATCGAAGTGATTAAACAAAGATGACACTCAGTTGCTTCATTTTCTAAAAACTTATCTGAGAGTCTGAGAACTTGAATAATTTGAAAATAACTCATGAATTCATTCAATGGGTCATAAATTCAACAGAAATTAATCATATATCATCATTCACGAAACAGTTAGATCAAAAATTGAAGTAATTAAATAAAGATGACACTCAGTTGCTTCATTCTCGAGAAACTAACTTGAGAACTTGAATGATTTGAAAAATAACTCATGAATTCATTTAATGGTTCACGAATTCAACAGAAATTAATCATATATCATCATTCACGAAACTGCTAGATCACAAATCGAAGTAAGTAAACAAAGATGACATTCAGTTGCTTCATTCTCGAGAAACTAATTTGAGAACTTGAGAACTTGAATGATTTGAAAATAACTCATGAATTCATTCAGTGGATCACGAATTTAACAGAAATTAATCATATATCATCATTCACGAAACTGCTAGATCACTAATCGAAGTAAATAAACAGAGATGACACTAAGTTTTTTCATTCTTGAAAATTAGTTCAAGAACTTGAAATTTGAGTAATTCAAAAATAACTCATGAATTCATTCAGTGGGTCACAAATTTAACAGATATCAAACATAAACTATCATTCACGAAACAGCCAAATCATAAATGTAAGTACATTAAACACAGATTG